CTGCTAGTGGTGGTGGTGGTGGTGGTGGTGGTAGTTGTGGTGTGCGCTGCTACTGCTGCTGCTGCTGCTGCTAGTGGTGGTGGTGGTGGTGGTGGTGGTAGTTGTGGTGTGCGCTGCTACTGCTGCTGCTGCTGCTGCTAGTGGTGGTGGTGGTGGTGGTGGTGGTAGTTGTGGTGTGCGTGGTTGCTGCTGCTGCTGCTGCTGCTAGTGGTGGTGGTGGTGGTGGTGGTGGTAGTTGTGGTGTGCGTGGTTGCTGCTGCTGCTGCTGCTGCTAGTGGTGGTGGTGGTGGTGGTGGTGGTGGTGTGCGTGGCTGCTGCTACTGCTGCTGCTGCTAGTGGTGGTGGAGGTGGTGGTGTGCGTGGCTGCTGCTACTGCTGCTGCTGCTAGTGGTGGTGGAGGTGGTGGTGTGCGTGGGTGCTGCTGCTGCTGCTGCTGCTACTGCTGCTAGTGGTGGTGGTGGTAGGTGGTGGTGGTGGTGGTGGTGTTGTTGTTGTTGGTGGTGGTGGTGGTGGTGCTGCTGCTGCTGCTGCTGCTACTGCTACTACTACTACTATTACTACCACTGCAGCTGCTGCTGCTGCTGCTGGTGGTGGTGGTGGTGCTGGTGGTAGTGGTGGTGGTGCTGCTGCTGTTTCTACTACTACTGCTGCTGGTGGTGGTGGTGGTGCTACGGCTGCTGCTTCTACTACTACTGCTGCTACTTCTACTACTACTACTGCTGCTGCTGGTGGTGGTGCCTGTCATTGGTTGCCTACTCATACAAGCACGCACGCTCACATTCACACAGTCATCTTACTCATTACCAAGTATCTATTATCATAAACACATTGCCACCTCCTTCTGCGCGTACACACGCGATCTCAGCAGACATTGCCAACAGCCACTCCCAAGCAGTAGTGAAGACCCTACGATCTTACATACAAGGTGCTAGCTAACCCAGTAACGTCCTCTAAATACCTCGAATACATTCGCCAGTCAGTCATCTTCCTTTAAACCGCGAAGGGATTCGCGTAAGAAGCACTCGTGGGTCACTCACTCTCTCCCTCGCTCACATACACACATACATGCCTCTCACATCTGGATGGTTGCCACACAGGCCCCTCCCCTTACCCCAACCCAGCTCCCCCACCCCGCCGCATCTCTCCTTCCCTCTCTCCCCCCACCACCACGGTTACTACAGATGTTTCCCACACCCCACTCTCGCCTATTTGCAGCTCCTCGGGGAATGCTGCCCGGGGTCTCTCTCTCTCTCTCTCTCTGTGCGTGCGTGCGTGCGTGCGTGCGTGTGCGTGTGCGTGTGTGTCTGTTTGTCTCTCTCTCTTGCCCATCCTTCTTCCTCTCCCTCTCTCTTTCTCTCTCGCGCGCTCTCTCTCTCCCTTCCCCTCCCTCTCTCCCTCTCCCTCTCTCTGGTGGTGATACGTGGAAGCTGTCGATGCCTAGAACCCCTACCGTGCATGGGCAGCGCACGCGTGTTTGTGCGTGAGCGGTATAGCTACTGGTTAGGGTTGCCTTCCCCCATTAAACCAACCGGCGGCCAGAAATAGACTTCATTCACAACACGGGTCCACCATCCCCACTGTCGGGCAAAGCATGACTGGAATTCTTCTCGCATCTTATTCCCTCTCCCGCCTTTCCTCTCCCTCTCCTTCTCCTCCTCCTTCTCCCGCCCTTCCCCTTCGCTGGCTCTTGTAAGCTCTCTTCCTTCCTCTCTCTCGCTTTCTCTCTCCCCTATCCCTCTCTCTCTCTCTCTCTCTNCGGCGTGCGTCGGGCCGTTGTTGGCACCGACCACTACAAGGGCGCGTGTGTGCGTGCGTGCGTGCGTGCGTGCGTGCGTGCGTGCGTGCGTGCGTGTGGGTGTGGAGGCGTCACGCGAGAGTCAACTGACGCGGTCTACCCATCTCGACTCTCACATCCCTCCACACACTACACTCATCCAATACCCATCCACATCCATGATGAATTCCCCTGCTTTGTGATCACCCTAGCATGCATACGGTACGTAAAATACCATCATCACACCCTTGTCGTACCATTCCCTGCTCTACCATCCGTTGTCTTACCATCTGTCTACTAACCCGTGGCCACGCCCTGCATCATAATTACATATTCTACCATGTCATCCCCCCACCCTTACCTTACCTACCACGCCCTGCATCATAATTACATATTCTACCATGTCATCCTCCCACCCTTACCTTGCTCTACCACGCCCTGCATCATAATTACATATTCTACCATGTCATCCTCCCACCCTTACCTTGCTCTACCACGCCCTGCCTCATAATTACATATTCTACCATGTCATCCCCCCATCCTTACCTTACGCCTTACCTATCCCACGCCCTGCATCATCAATAACATATTCTACCACATGTCATCCTTCCACCTAACCTTTATCCCCTGACCGAGGCCCTGCCTGCATCATAATTACATATTCCTAACCATGTCATCCTCTTGACCACCTTCTCGTTTACTTGGCTCTAGTGCCCCACGCCCGCTGCAGATCATACTTGACCATATTCTACGCGCATGTAAATCCCCTTACCGTTACTATACCTATCCACGGCCCATGCATCATAATTACATATTCTTACCATGTCATCCCCCACCCTGTACGTTACCCCTGTACCACGCCCTCTGCATCAATACATATTCTAACCATGTCCATCCCTCCACTTACTTCCCGTACAACGCCCCTGCATCGATAATTAGCATACTTCTACCATGTCATTCCCCCCCACCTTACTTACCTCCCCACGGCCCTGCATGCATAATTACATATTCTACCATGTCATTCCTCCCACCCTTACGCTTTACGTACCACGCCCGTGCCATCATAATCTACAGTTGATTCTACTAACTACCTATGTCATCGCTCCCAACCCCTTACCCGTACCGTACATCCGACGCCCTGCATGCATAATTAACATTATTCTACCATGTCATCGCCCCCCCACCTTACCTGTTACTTCTACCGTGCGACGTCCTGGCATCCTAATTACATTATTCTAGAACCCATGTCATTCCCCTACCCTTGACCTTACCGTTACCACGCCCTTGCATCATAATTAACAACCTATTCATCCCATGTCATCTCTCCACGCGCTTAACCTTTGAACGCTACCGACGCCCGCGTAGCATCATAATTCTACATATTCTAGTACCGATGATCATCCTCCCACCCTTACTACGTACCACGTACTGCCGTGGCATCATAATTACATATTCTATCCGATGTCATCCTCCACCCTTACCTTACCTACCACGCCATGCATTCATAATTACGACCTATTCTACGCATGTCATGGCGGCCCGCTAACCGTTACCTTACCTTACTCTACGGATCCCAGGGACAACGAGGCGGCTCCCCTGCTCTACGCATGCCGAACCTTACGAAGAAGAGTCTTAGTGTGCGCTGGCTTACCATCTGCTGTGTCGCCGTACCCTCACCCCACTTCTTCGCATGACTTTGTGAAACAGTGTGAAAGCGGCTGCTTTTACTTAGGGGGGATGCAGGGATGCACAGCGCTGCGTGGGCGTGCGTTGCGTGGCGTGCATGCGCACGTCAATTCCATAACGTAGCAGGGGCGGTAGTACGTGAACGGTATTGATCACAATATGAAACAGACCATATATATATATAGAGAGAGAGAAAGAGCGCGCGAGAGAGAGATAGAGAGAGAGAGAGACGTGAGAGAGAGATAGACGAGAGAGCGAGATGAGAGACGAGCAGAGAGAGTAGGAGAGAGAGAGAGAGAGAAAGAGAGATAGAGAGAGAGAGAGAGAGAGAGAGAGAGAGAGAGAGAGAGAGTCCGGGAGAAAGAGACAGCGGGTAAGGGAATGAAAGAGAGTGAGACAGAGAGAACGAATGAATGGCAGGCAGTAAGCGTGAGTCATCCTCAGTGTCTGGCCATCCACTACTGACCACTAGCCACCACAACGCGAAGGCAAGCCAGCAGACTGACACTATACATCCGGGGCCGTTGTCAGAAACAAAATTAGTCTTAACATTAAAAAAACAATTTCTCCTAAACCGTCGACATCACTTTGTTTCGTATTG